AGGGTCCACATATCCTGTCAACTTTTCTCGTGGCAAGTGTTCTCTCCCCCCTCCTTCTCTTCCCTCTCAGCTTTATTGTCTTGGACTTCTTCACATGGTAGGGAACACGGCCTTCCACCTTCAGCAGCTATGACATGAAGAGAGCAAAGAGATTTTCCTGGCCTGCTCCACACAATCCCAGAGGACTCTTGTCTCCCTTGGTTAGGCCAGGGTCACCCCTAGACTGGCCACTTGAGCTCTTCCCTGTAAGCAGGGTCAGGGGGCCGAAAGTGACAAGTATATGAAAAACACCAAGGTTGGTGCAGAAGAGAAGTTTCTAGAAAAAGTAGAAATGCTACCGGCTGGTTTCTCTTCCTCTTGCCTTCCATTTCCCAGCAATCCATCAGTGCTCAAGTTAAATCTTCCAAAAATACGTGCTCACTCCTGCTCGCCTGTAGAACCAAGTGCCAGCTCAGCTCAGGTGGTGCATGCTTTCTTCCCCTTCATTTCCAGGCACACACCTTGTTCCCCCTTCATAGGCTCTTTGTCCCTCACCTCTTGGCCTCTAGAACTGCCATGTCCTAAATAAAGATTTTTCTGATCCCTATCAAATGAGCCTTCCTATTTGGAAGTCTCAACATTCTGTTTTTCTTTTTTTTTTTTTTTTTGAGACAGAGCCTCAAGCTGTCCCCCTGGGCAGAGTGCCGTGGCATTACAGCTCACAGCAACCTCCAACTCCTGGGCTCTAGCGAGTCTCCTGCCTCAGCCTCCCAAGTAGCTGGGACCACAGGCGCCTGCCACAAACGCCCGGCTATTTTTTGGTTGCAGCCGTCATTGTTGTTTGGCGGGTCCGGGCTGGGGATTCGAACCCGCCACCTTAGGTGTACGTGGCTGGCGCCTTAGCCGGTTGAGCTATAGGCGCTGAGCCCTGTTTTTCTAATATTAGAAAATACTATCTAATATTAGTTACTAAACTTAAATGTTTACTTTAGCATTTACAGGTGACCAGAATTTTTCTCTTCCTCTGAACAAAACAAGAACTTTAGTATGTCTTTCACTGTATTCTCAAGCCATCCATCTTGTGGTCACTCTCTATAGATATGGATATCAATAGATATACAGATAGATATAGATAATCATATATAATGATATCATATATAATATGATATAATGATAATCATATATAATGATTAATTATCTAGATTGAACTGTAAGTTTCACTGGTTTATTTGGTCACTGGTTTCTTATTTTTAAATATGTGGAATGTTTTTTAAAAAACAATTGCAGTACATAGAGATAGCAAATGAAGCAGTGGTTACCATATTATTTTTTATTTTTGAGTTCATGTTTAACTTTTTCCCTGCACATCTTTGAATTTCTTTTGAAGAGATAATTAACTTCCTAAGTACTCTCATGTCCTAAAGTTGCCTTGTTTTGCCCTTTTATTTATTTATTTCTTCCTCTGGAGATTTTTATTTTATTATTTATTTATATTTTTATTGTTGGGAAATCATTGAGGATACAAAGAACCAGGTAACACTGCTTGCATTTGTTAGGTAAAGTCCCTCTTATAATTGTGTCCCACCCCCAAGAGGTGTGTCATACACTGTGACCCCCACCCCACTCTCTCCTCCCTCTCTCTGCTCCCCCATTCCCCCACCCCCACCATGTATTAGCAGTAATTGTCCTCATATCAGAATTGAGTACATTGGATTCTTGCTTCTCTATTTGTTTTGCCCTTTTAATTTAATGCTAGGTGGGAGGGGTATAAATTCTAGATTCAAATCTATTTTCCTACAGAAGTCATGGAAAATCTTTGACCAGGGTGGCTTGAAGGAGCCAAGGAGTCATGGGAGAATGGTGCAGGGCCAGGGCAGTCTGGGGAAGTACACAAAGCGACCCTCACTTTGCTCCTCAAAGGAGATGGGTGACAGGATGCTACAGGTTCCGTCTCTGAGCAGGAAGGGGCTTAATTATCTACTCCTGGGCTAAAAGGCGGAAGCCCTAGGCTTGGGGGATTGATTAAGTTCCCCAGGGCTGACTTAGAGAATGGGTGGGCTTCTCTGCTGCATCACGTAGCTGAGAGTGGTGGATGTACCTGGGCGAGCCCCCATTCTGAAGCTCGGTTTCTCTTTCACCCTCTCTTACCCCAGAGCCCGTCCCCCTCCCCCAAATCCTGATTCATTCGTCATCCAACACATTAGGCTGGTGCAATGCCAGCCTGGAGTGTGGCACCCTGGGCATCACAGAGAACCTGACCGTGACCTGGCTGAGCAACAACCTCTTGAGGGAACTAGAACAGAAAGGGACACTGGTGCCAGTCCCCAACTCCAGGAATCTAAGCCTGAGCCTGCCCCTGAGGCAGTCCAATGGGCATCTCACCTGTGTGATCAGCAATCCTGCAGACCAGAAGAATGCAACCTTAGACCTGGACACCATCTGTTTTTGGAGAGGTGAGTGTGACCCACTGGGAAGGGTGATGAAAATGGGCTGGCAGAGATAGGCTGGGACAAGGCTGGAGGGCTCAGCAAAGCGATGGGGCTGAGGAACAGTGTAAGACCACCCATGTAGTGCAACAGGAAGGCCTTTGCTGTGGGAGATACCACATCCTCACTGCAACCTTCAAGCCGGCAAGTGTGGAAGGGCCACCAATATACAGGGATTCCCCCACTGCCTGTGACGTCAATGTGGGACTGGCATGTGGGTAGCCTATTCCCAGGGTGAAGGAGCTGGGAGGCTGAATTAGTCATCAGTATCTAAGCAGGGCAGGAGGACCTGAGGCCTGAGGCCTGACATAACCTCAGGGCACCCCCTCCAGCCCCCAAATGCTTGTGTACCCTAATTGCAGCCTCCCTCCCCGGATGGGCTGGGTTGCACACGCATGGCCGGTTCAGGCTGATAGATACCTGGGCTTTCCTTTCCTTTCCTTTTCTTTTGCCCTCCCTCCCTTCCTTCCTCCATTCCTTGTTACATGCCTGACATCCCCTTTTGGCAAATGGGAACCACCTCTGAGTACATAAACCCCAGTCAGCTGCCTCTGAGTAGCGTGAGCACCTGCGGTCATGACGACCATTCACTAAGCTCCCCCCAGTCAGCTCAAGTGGTCACCTAGGAGAAATAAAGGGACTACACAGGGTAGGTGGGAGGAGGGAGCTCTTACAATGGAGCCGTACCCTCGGGCCCTGTTTCATAAAATACCCAAACTCTACCATGCTGGACTACACAGGTACAACAGATGTAAAAAGAGGTGTGATCATAGGGTCAGCTGCCCTGTCCCTCCAATGTCCTCCTGAGCTCGGCTTGCACACTTGGGGCTCCCCCTGAACAGTCTATTCTTGGTCATCTCTTTGTTCAATCCCCCACCTGGCATCAACCCACAAGTCTGCACAGAGGCCTGCTGTGTGCTGGGTGTCGGGCACAGTGTAAAACAGGACAAGCCCTGCCCTTAAGTAACTTATAGTGCAGGGAACGTCGTCACATACTGGTTGCGTGTCATTGGGAAGTTACTGAATATGTTGAGCCTTTCTATCTGTAAGGTGGGTGATCCTACCTACTCCATAGGGTTGTTATGAGAATGAAAAGTGGTAATGTAACGTACACAATGCTTTTGGCATTGTAGATGACACATGATATGTTAATCATTACTAGATACCAAAGAGGAGAAGAGGAAGGGCATATACATTTTATTTTACTTTGTTTTATTTCAACATTTTTGGAGAGACGAGCTCACTCTGTCTCCCAGGACAGAGTATAGTGGCATGATCATAGCTCATTGCAACCTCCAACTCCTGGGCTCGAGTGATCCTTACCCCGTCATCTCTGCATAGGAGCCTTCTCCCTCCTCAGCTTCTGCCTTCAGGATCTTCCCAGCACCCACCTCCCAGAGTAGCTGGGACCACAGGCAGTTACCATTATGCCTGGGAAATTTTTTGTAGAGATGACCTCTTGCTATATTGCCCAGGTTGGTCTTGAATTCTTGGCCTCAAGTGATTCTCTCACCTTGGCCTCCCAAGGTGCTGGGATTACAGGGATGAGTCAGCTGTTAAGTGCTGAAGTTGAGGCAAATACAGAGAATGATTCAAGGAAAAAAATAAGTTGAGTAACTGTTACAGGAATTGGGAAGGAAGGGTGTCACAGAGAAGGAACCACTGAGTTGGGCCTTGAAGGATGAATAGGAGTTTTCCTGTGGCAATATAAGAAAGACTTCTCAGACAAGAAGTGTACAGGGTGGTTTGAGGTCTGGAGATCCCAGACATCTCTATTCCCTCTCCCTCTTGGAATGTAGTTCCCTCCTGGAGGTCTGAGAGGAGAAAGGAGAGGCATGTGGAGGGGACAAATAAGGGCACACCAGCTGGTGGAAGCCCTGAGGTTCCTGTGCAAAGATGGGACAGAAAGCCTGGCAGAGGAAACAGGAAACTGGCAGTGGCCAGAGTGCTGAGAGGCGCGGAAGGAGGATGCACATTTGGGAGCTGGGTGGAACCAGGCCAGTCCCATCCCTACCTCCACACCAGGCCTGACTGAGGCAGATCTGACACCAGCCTTTGACCCCAGGTTCTCCTCCGAGCAAATGGCTTCTGATAAGCACCTTTGCCATAGTTCTGATGATGATAAGCCTGGGGCCAGGAGTGTGGATCTGGAAGAGGAAGAAGAAAAAGGCTGAGAGAGGTGGGTGCTGGGGAGATCCCGAAGACAGGAGCTGAGGAGGGAGAAGGCCCCAGGGACAGGGGCAGGGGAGAAGTATGGAGGATGGAGGCCCATCGGGCTCCCCCGTGGATTCCTGGCAGAGGCTGGTGGAGCAATGCCGATAGCGGGAGGTATGTGAAGGACCAGGAGGCTGGTGGGTGGTAGAGATGGAGCAGGGGTTCAGGACTGGCACTTACAGCCTGGGGAGCAATAGCCGCCCCCATGCTGGCTTCAATCTCACACACCCTCACTGAATGTCTGCTGTGTGCAGGTGGGTCCACTATCCTGCCCGCAGTGCCAGGCCCAGCAGCTGCTTCCCAGGGCCTTTCCACAGAGACCTATGCTGAGTTGCAGACTGGTGGGGACGACAGCCATGACTCTATCTACCCAGAGATTGGCCTCCCAAGACACCCTAAGGTGGGTCTGAGGGAATCAAATAGGGCAACTGGCATATGCTTGGAGGCCAAGAGTCCCAGGTGGTGCAGGGTGCTCTGCCTCATCAGCAGGCTCTGAGCCTGGTCCTTGCCTTGGGCAATGTGGTCAGATGCCTCGCCCAGGCATGCTGTGAGCTGTGGTGCAAAGGGCAGAGACCTTGCCCAGTATCTCCAAACCCATAATCTCATCAGGGTATCACTGCTGCCCAGTGAGGAGGAGGCAGAGCAGGGCAGGGGGCACTAAAGCTCGGAGAGGTGAGCAACTGGCTCAAGGGCCCGTCAACTTGGCAGTGGAGGAAGGGGGATGAGAACCCTGGAGGGGCTCACCATCCACAGGCTGAAACCCAGGCCATAGGAGAGGCAAGAGTGTAAGTGACCAGGGGTCTGGGGGGACAACCATCTGTGTGAGACAGGGCCCAGTGGGCCTGCATGGGGGTAGGATACAGGATCTGGGGAGTGTCAGGAAAGTTGCACTTCTCCATCCCCCATCCCTTCTGCCTCCTACCTGCCTGAGCTCCTCCCATCAATGCCTCCCCTTCCTGTAAAGGTGTAGCTGCCCCTTGCTGAAGGAACATGCTAGGAGAGTAGCTCACAGGGTTCCTGGCCCTTGGCTAGAAATTGGTGCTGTGGTCCCAGATGGAAAACTTCTCCTGAGGGGAAGGCCTTGGTGGGGAAAAGCAAGGCCCAGATGGAACACTGAGACTTACCTAGGAGCCATGGTGAGAATTGGTCTCCTCATTCCCATCCAGTGTCCTGTCTATTGTCCCAGCTGCCTCAGTGCCTGTCCTGTTGTGGCTTCCCATCTTGGCCTTTCTGAGTCATGTCCCCTTCTGACCTGGCCTACAAGGGACTCAGGAAATAACTCCTTGGGACCCAAGTCCCGGTACCCTCCCACCAGAGAAACACAGGAGGCAAGCAGTGTGTGTAGGCTTTGGGACAGAGAAACAAACCAAGTGGCATATAACCCAGATACTTAGCACTGCCCGAGTCCCTGCCTCTGGTGAGCTTCCAGGCTGCTGGAGAAAATGGATACCTCCCAGGACCCAGGGATATGCACAGATGGGAGTGGTGAGAAGGAGTGCAGTAAGGAGAGAGGGTGTGAGACTCAGCTCTGACACTGACTCCTTGCTTAACCTTAGAGACATTGCCTCCCTGGGCCTCAGTTTCCACTTTATAAAATGCGGATTATGAGAATAATAACAATACTTTACATTTAGCTGGTACTTTGCAGCTTTCCAAAGCACCTTTGCAATAAGAGAAGTCAAGATGATTTATACATTTGTCCAAGAACTATTTATTGAGTGCCTACTAGGCTCCTAGAATCATTCTGATCTGGGCTACAGAAGTCCAGACCAAAACAAAACAAGTAAAAAATATTGAAAGTGCTTGCCCTCATTGAATATGCCTGCTAATGGGGTGTGGAAGTGAATGGGAGAATGACAAAATAAATAATGAAGCAGAAAATAAAGCAGGGAAGGGCAGAGGGGACACAGTGGGCTGTCAGGGCAGGCCTTACTGAGGGGAGGACCCTGAAAGAGGAGAGGGAAGAATCAATGTGGGGGTGCTAGGCGGTGAGAGAAGAAGGGTGGCATAGCAGGCATAGGACAGGACACGTGCAAAGATGTGCAGAACTCAAGAGAGGGATCTGGGCTGAAGCCCTATTTGGGGGAGTTACCAGGGTTGAGAGCAGAACTACCTAGCCGAGGACAAGAAGCATACAGAGGGAGGTAGCCTGATGGCCCTTGTACATACTTCCTAGAGGCTGACCAAGACCACCTCTCCACCCCACTTGAATCGCAGAGCAACGTGGAGAAGAAAAGCTTCCATTCACAGGGCCCCAAGCCAGCCCTAGAGGTCTATACCGTTTATGAGAAGATCCGGCCACACCTAGAGGAGGACGCCTAGAGCATGCAGACACTAACTCTGAGGGGGAGCCTTGGTAAGATCTGCTGCCTACCCCACCCTTCATGCTGGGGTCCTGATATCCTTCCTTAAGGTGGGTCTGGGACTAGACTTCAGGTCTTCCTGACCCACCCCACTGAGATGGCAAGGCAGCGCAAGCTGCCCCACTGAGCCTGCCCCAGATGTGAGCAGTGACCCTATTACTCAGAGATCAAAGCATGAGAGGCAAACCCTTTAGCTGGCCTCTGACCTCTGGCCTCTGACCAACTTACTTCCCATTAGGGAACACTCTTGGTCAGACATGACCTGTGTAGATGTGGTAAGGGGACAGAGATGATTTTGTGGAATAGGGAAGGTTCTGGGCCTGAGAAAGATGAGCCTGGGGTAGAGAACCTTTAGGATGCCACCACCCAACCCATGGCCCAAGAACAGAGAGGTAGACTTTGTGGAGAAGCGTGAGGCCTACAGATTCAGGACCAAGGGTTAGCTGCAGCATGGAGATGAGTGGTGGAAAGGGGAGGGAGCCTTTCTTGAGCTCCACCACCTATCAGGCTTACTTTTAAGCACAGTGAATGTACTATCTGAGGATTTTTCAAAATTCAAGCAATTCACAGATCCTTCTCATTTTATTACATAACAAATATATACAGTATAAAAGTTAAAAGTAATGTCATTGAAATTGTGATGTTTCATCAGTTTTGTTGCCGTAGTACAGGCGGTCTTGTTCCCAATGTGTAACTAATTGGTTTAAATAATATGCACATAATACATTAAGCAACATGCTAAATCCTATCATCCATATGTTTTTCATTTTAGTCAACTTGGATTTCTGAGTAGATAATCATATTATCAACAAATAATTGTAATTTTTGCTTCTTTGTTTCCAATTTATGCCTTATTCCTTTCTTTTGTCTGATGGCACTGGCTAATACCTCCAAAACCAAGTTAACTAATAGTGATTATAAAAGATATCCTGGGGGCAGAGCCAAGATGGCGGACTGCAGCCAGCTTCCCACAGAGGCTCTCATCCAGAAGGAGACTTAAAGGACAGAGGTCTGGCAAGTAAGCTGATGGTTTGGAGTTGAGCCAAGAGAGAAGATTGAAGAACCCACAACAACTTTGCTGAGGCGAGCTGTGACCCCAGAAATACAATCAAAAAGTACAAAACCCACCAGCAGTGGTGGTGGAGTCCTCCACTAATAGAGCCGTGCATGCCGCAGTTGGTGCCGGAGGAGCCCACAGCTCCTGGTGGGCCCATAACTGCTTGCTAGAGCCACAGGTGCCCCGTGGGGGCTGGCGGAGGAGTCCCCCCACTTCGGGTGGCCCAGAAATGCTTTCTAGAGCCCCACACACCCCACAGGGGCTGACGGAGGAGGTTGCTGCTGCAAGTGGGCCCAGAACTACTTGCTAGAGCCACGCAGCCCTGTAGGTAGTGGTGAAGGTGTCCCCTGCTCTGGGAGAGCCCAGATCTGCTTGCTAGAGCCATGTGTATCCTGTAGGCAACTGCAGAGGAGCCCTCCATTTTAGACGGGCCTAGAACTGCTTGCTCGAGCCACGCGTGCCCCGCAGGCAACAGCAGAGGACTCCCCGCTCTGGGTGGGCCCAGAACTGTTTGCTAGAGCTGCACGTGTCCCGTGGGTAGCTGTGGAGGAGACCTCCATTCTGGGCAGGCCCAAAATGGCTTGCTAGAGCCACATGCACCCCGCAGGGGCCAGCGGAGGAGTTCCCCACTCTGGTCAGGCCCAGCAAGCTGTAAATCCAAGGAAGAGCATTTAAGAACACAAATACGGGTACAAAGTGGGCCCCAGAACTGTTTGCTAGAGCTGCACACCTCCAGGGAGCGGCGGGCTGCAGAGGCACCCCAAGCTCTGGGCAGTCACAGAACTACTTGCTAGAGCCATGAGTGCTCTGCAGGTGGCAGAGGAGATCCCTGCTCCACACTCCAGGCTCCCGCTCCGGGTGGGCCCAGAACTCTTTGCTAGAGCCATGTGCATTCTGTGGGCAGTGGTGGAGGAGTTCCCTGCTCTGGGCTCCCATGTCAGGAAGGACCAGATCGGCTAGCTAGTGCTTGGTGCATACAGGGGGTGGCAGTGGAGGAGTCCTCCGCTCCCCATTCCCCTGCCCCCACGGTTGCCCTGGCGGGGGTGAACTATGACTGATCCAGCTGCTGCTATTCCCCTGCCCCACGGTTGCTCTGGTGGAGCTGAACTAGGACTGATCTAGCCACAGCAGTTCCTCTATCCCCCGGTTGCCCCCGCGGGGCCAAACTAGGACTGACCCGGCTATGTGTATTCCCCGCACAACCACTGCTATTCCCCTGCCCCCTGGTTGCCCCAGAGAGGCTGATCAAGGACTGATCTGGCCACTGCCATTCCCCTTCCCCCTAGTTGCCCCAGTGGGGCCAAACTAGGATTGATACAGCCGCTGCTGTTCTCCTGCCCCCCCTGGCTGCACTGGCGGGGTTGAATGAGGATTGATCCAGCTGCCGCTATCCCCCTGCTCCACCCCCTGTCCCCCCGCCCATCGCCCCAGTGGGGCTGAAGTAGGACTGATTCAGGCACTCTTGTGCTCTGTGCAGCTGCTGTCATTCACCTGCATCTTGGTAAACCCAGAGGGGCCAAACTAGGACTGATCCAGCTGTGCGAGCACTCCGCACCACCACTGCAGTCCCCCTGCCACCCGCCACCCCAGTGGAGCCAAACTACAACTGATCTGGCTGCTGCTGGTCTTCTGACCCCCAGGCACCCCAGCAAGCCCAATGAGGTCTGAAATGGCTACGCACACTTTTGGGCAGCTGCTGCCATTCCGCTGTGCCCTAGTTGCCCCAGCACCCAAGAACTGGGAGAAGATGACAGACATGCCCTGTCTCTCTGGGCAACCAGAAGAAGCCACTGACTGAACGGTTCTGATAAGGTCTCCTAACAGGGTAAACTCAGCATGGGGTAGAATCAGTGGAAAAGCTCTGGCAACTTGAAAAACCAGAGTAGATCAACTCCCCCAAGGAAAAATGGGGCAGAAGCAATTGAAGACCTGATCCATAAACAGATGGCTGAGACGTCAGAAATCGAGTTCAGAATTTGGATAGCAAATAAGATTAATAGAATGGAAGAAAGGAAGGAATTAGAATTTCAAGAAATTATTTAAATGATATCTCAAGAAAATTTTCAAAAGATGTCTCAAGAAATTATTCAAAAGATGTCTCAAGAACGCAACGATTTCTAAGATAAAATGATCAAAGATTTTGAAACACTGAGACAAGAGGTTGCAGCCCTCAAGGATCTGAAAGATACAGTGGAATCCCTCCATAACAGAGTGGAACAGGCAGAAGAAAGGATCTCTGACATTGAAGACAAAGCTTTTGAAGAAGCCCAGGAATGCAAAGATCAAAAGAAATGGAGAGCAAAAACAGATCTTTCAGAGAGCTCTGGGATAATTCGAAGAAAACTAATATTCACCTTATAGGAATCCCTGAAGGCGATGAAATGGCTTCACAAAATACAGAGGCTCTTCTTCATGAAATTTTGAAAGACAACATTCCAGACATGCCAAGAGATTCTGAAATTCAGATAGCAAATAGTTTCAGAACCCCAGCACCACTCAACGTGAACAAGACATCCCCCAGGTACATCATAATTAGCTTCACTGAAGTTAATATGAAAGAGAAAATTCTGAAAGCAGTTAGATGTAAGAAAACCATAACCTACAAGGGGAAGAGTATTAGGATGACCACATGTCTCTCTGCTGAGATCTTTCAGGCTAGAAGAATATGGTCATCGACTTTTAATTTCCTAAAACAAAACAACTTTCAACCCAGGATCCTGTATCCAGCTAAACTGAGTTTCATCTACCATGGAGAAATTAAATACTTTAATGACATTCACATGTTGAAGAAATTTGCCATAACTAAACCAGCTCTCCAGGAAATTCTCAAACCTATCCTCCATAATGACTAGTGCAATCCTCTACCACAAAAGTAAACTAACTCAGAAATTTTTGCTCAAATTCCAACTTCCACAGTGGCAAAAGGATTAAAAATGTCTACTGGACTTTTGAGCAACTTGATGCCCAAAATTTTACCAGGCTTATCAATAATTTCTATCAATGTGAATGGCTTAAATTGTCCTCTAAAGAGGCATAGATTGGATGATTGGATACAAAA